CTGTTATAAACTGTAAGATGCATTTACTGAATTATGATTTCATAAAGTCATATAGTCATTTGGGTTGCAAGGAGCCTTGGGAAAGTCCACAGTTCAACCTGATGCATAAAGCAGAATTAGCACCAAATTTAACCAGGTGGTTCGATGCATTATCTAGTTCAGTACTGAAAATATCCTTGAAGAGACACATCACATTTTCACTGGGAAATCACACCAGTGCTTAAATACACTCAGGGAAATAATTTCCTCCTTATATCCAGTCTGAAAATAGTCTCTTCCAATTCACAACCCGACACCCTCATGTTGTGGGTAACTTTCCTTGGTACAGACAGGCTGCTGTCAGGTGCCCCAAAGCTGCCCCTGAGCTGATGCAGCTGCTTGTTCTCCTGTAGCTGCAGGGCCCATCCCTATCCATGGAAGAGGCTGCCCTGGAAGGCCTGACAGCTTCATCTGGCTCTTCACAGGTGCTTCCCATTGCACCCAGCTCAGCCAAAGACCTGTGCTGGATGCTGGATTTAACAACATTAGTTTACAGGGGTTTTTCTGTTTGGTTGGGTTTTGTGTTTTTTTGTCTTTGTTTGTTTGTTTGTTTTGTTGGCATATTTTAGATCAAAACTTCAATTGGGAAAAAAAATTATGAGGAAGACACATCAGAGAAGTCAAAACATATTTAACTGGTAAATGCAAACCAGAATGTACCATTAAAAAGAATAATCCTTTTTCTGTTTAGTGGTATGATATTTCTTTTGATATTTTCATTTTTGCTAAGGAAACTAGAAAATAATTCATTTAGCATTGGCTGAGACATTTTTATTTGGCTGTTATCCTCTTTAGCCAGGTCTGTTTGCATGATAATTTCAAAGTGATTCGAGTTCTGAAACCGTGAAAACGAGCCTGTTTTATCTGTGCCTTTCACTGCTTTCTGCAAATCTGGAAATTTGTTTTTGATAGAGAGAGGATCAGCTCCAAATCATAAAACTAAATAACCCTTCAAACTTTAGGGAATTCAAGCTGCCAACCAGACTTCAATCCTGAGTTTGGTAAATGTCAACACCCTTTCTTGGGCAGTGAAGCAGAGTGAAGGAAGAAGTGTTAAATAGGATGGGGAGCTGCCTTAATTACTTGAATATTTTAAAAATTATTTTCCAGGAGATACTTAATTCAGGAACACTTGGTTATTTCAAATCTTATGACCCTACTTAGCTTTCTAAGCTAGTGCTTTAGTTAGATGGAGAGAAGCAAAAAGACAGCTGCTGATGAAGCAGCATGGATGTGATGTGACTACAAAAATGACAAAAAATTGTCCCATTCTCATTCATAAGTGTCTAGAATTCTACAAATATTCTTTGAGACAGTGACTTCATCTAAAAGGAATTGACAGCTGAAATTATATTAGTGTATGGCTACTCAATATGATTTGAAATTATGGGTTTGTTTGTCAACATTAATTGGATTAAATTACCTGCAATGAAATATAAGCCTTTTGGGAAAAACCAATTCTTGTCCTGCTGGCTTTAGCAGTGTCCAAACAGACTGTGTTTCAAAGTAGCATGAGTGTGACCACATTGCGGGTATGACACATTTCCAGAGAGTGGTGAGAAGGGGCAGTGTTTGGTCTGGAAGGGGGATTTTGCTGCAGGTGAAGGGTGTGACGTTGTGAAGCAGAGGCTGGGTCAGGTGCAGAGGGGATTGGGAACTCGTGGGGACAGTGGGATGGGTGGCACCCTGTGAGCCCCATCCCCAGGAAAGGGCAGAGCAGGGCAGGGCACCCAGTGAAAGGAACGGAGCAGCATCAGGACAGCACTTCAGGAAATGGAGTGCCCATAAATTCATTTCCTGGACAAAGGGACATTGATGGGACAGGGTGACTCCATGGATCAACATTTGCAGTCCTCCCTATTGCAACTGTAAAGCTGGTGCAGTTTATGTGGAATTGATAACTTGGTGTTTCTAGCTTGGATGTGCTCTTACATACAAATAATTTATTCTAAAGTATCCTGGCTTTGTTTTGTTTTTTTGTTACAAGTAAAATTTTACAGTCTGTATTTCATGCTCATCTTTACATTGTGTTCAATCAGTGAACAGAAATAATCCTCCAACTACACCATTTTGGTCCTTCTTGGTTACTAGTTGAGAAAGCTGAGGGAATGAGCTCTGTTACTGGTACAAAGATTGGAAATATGAGAAGGAAATATCCTTTCTGATAAATTAGTGTTGCCATGGCTGTGGTTGTAAAAATGGTTGAGGTGACCTGAGTAATGAATTTTTACTCAGTCTCTGACAGAATGTAACCTTTCAACAAACAATTCAGATATTGCTAAGCAAAGATGCTGAACTGATCCAGCAACACTCTCTGTGGATAGAGCTTCACCTGCTTGTCATGCGGTTCATATTGACAAAGGGCAGGGCACAGCCTGGATAACCCCACTGGAGCCACGCTGGAGAGCCTCTGTTCCAGCCTCTTCTCTTGAGCTGTGGCTGAATGTGCCAGTGTGCACCTGCCCATCTCCAAAGCCTCCTGCCCACCCTTGGCAGCCACTGTGGGCTACTGCAGTGGCTAGATATGCTTTTAATCCAAGAGTGTGATTGCTGTAATTTAACTAAGTATTTTTATTACTCCAGGCCGTCTTGTGCACTGTAAAAGTCTGCAGCTTTGTGCAGGAAATGTATCTTTTCAGGACAGCTACCAGCATTTCCTGTCATACATGTTCGTATGTTACTGACAGGAATTTCATTACCTCTATGTCAATTCATACTAATTTATTCCATTGTGTAGATGAGCATCTTGTTTCATAATGCCACACCAAGGGTCAGCTCATTCTGACAACCTGATACTGTGAGAACATCTTGAGGCTTACATATGACTACATGAAGTCTTGTGCACTGAGTGGTTAGAGAAGGAAACTTCCAAGGGGACACTGTAGCATAAAATGACCGGCAGAGGTGAAGGCAGGCTGCAGAATGGAGGTTATGAAAAAATCATTAAATAAGATCAATAGCTACTTGCCATGCAAAAATCAATGGGCAATGCTCATTGACATAATTTCTCTCCATTTCCTACCATTTTGATATTTAATATTGCAATTAAACAATATAACCAAAAGTCTTCACTCCTACAAAAAATACAGTTCCATGGTTTCATCATACCATGTATCACATGCCTTCTTTTCTGTCTTAACTTTCCCTTCTCAACTTTGAAAAGCTCCCTAAAAAAATGATTCACTCTGGCTCCTAGCAATTCTTGTCTGAAGTACTGAACAGCAGCTGTTAGGTGAGTACTGTGAATTGTGCAAGAAATGGCTCTGTAAGTGCAGAGGAAACAACAGGAGACAAATTTACCTTAAAAACACAACATAATTTGGAAACAAATGTCCATTAACGTACAGTTATGTGAAATCATATTTAAAGTGTTTGTCTTACTAAAGGGTATTGCTAAAGAGGAGCTGCTAAGAGCTTGGTAGCAGCTGAGCACCTTCATGTATCACAGCTCCTTAACTGGAAACGGCTTGATTATTGCAGGGCACCCTTACAAGGACTGTGGCTTTGGGGCATTAATGTATTTGCTTGGTTTATATCAGAACAACAGTATCCCAGGAGACTGTGTGCTGTCATTTGTGTGGAAGAAAAGAGACAGAGGAGCCCAGAGTCCAGCACAGAGTGATGGGCTCCTGTTAGAAGTGAAGCTGGTTATTGCACAGCCATTGTAAGATGCTGTTTTCAGCTATTTGTAACTTTCTGGAACTGGAATAATTTATGCTGAGATTTTTTTTCAAGTGATATATTTGGAAAAAATCTGTTCTGTATTTTGGAGTGGTGTGGACATAAATAGTGAGGTGTAGGAACTTCCAGATTAAGTGACACTGGGGCCAAAACTCTTGGACTTACACCATCATCAATTCTTCTTAGTCACAATTAGCAGAAATCTGGATCTTGCTCTCCCACCCCTCGAGGGTGAATCCCTTTTCAAAAACTGTGCTCCTACAGGTGCTACAACTTGCAGGGTGCACATTGGGGTGTTTGATTATCTAGTAATGGTTGTATAAAGCAACTGGGGTATCATTTCTACTCATCACAGAGAGGGAGTGATAGAAAAGGTAAGTGTTTTTCCTAACAGTTAGAAATGCTTGCTAGAACTATGTATGATCTTTGATGAAATAAAAAATATTTTTTTGTAATGACAGTAATGGCACCAGAAAATAGCCTAATTCAGGCTTACGTTTTGTTCAAATCATGCATTTTTGATGAATAGTTATGTTCCCACTTTATTTGTCATAAACTGGAGGCCCCTGAGATTAATCTTGTGCATTTGCTCTTTAGGTGTTTTGAAAATAACAACTCTTCCTCTCTGGTCTCTCTGTCATCTTTTTGCTTGATGCTGCTCCCTTTTCCAGCTTGAATTCTATCTCACCAAGGTGGAGCTGGGAAGATGGGATTAGTCCCATTCATTGAAGTCTGCTTCCTGGTACTGCACACGAGACAGGGAAATAACTGTAATTTGATTCATTTTCATAAAGTCTACTTCACTTGTTGGCTGAAACCAGTCAGCAGTAGGTACTTCATAACTTTCCTCAAACCTGAACTTCCAAATATCCTGTGATAGATATTTACCCTTTTCCTCCAGCCCCTCATGGTACTTGGAGGTCAAAAGAACACATTCTCCATGTTAGAAATTATCCAGTGTTGTCGCAGCTTTGGTGCCAGCAGTCTCCTCTCTGTCAGGCTCTCTTGGCCTCAGGACAGCTTTGCAATGGTGTTCAACACAAACCTGACCAAGGTATACCAAGGAAAAAAGAGAAGCAAATACTGTTCAGAGCCTTTATTCAAGGCAGAGAATATCTCTGTTGTAAATACACCATAATATGACTTTAAGACGTTTGTGAAAAAAGGAGTCAATATGGGCATTAAACTTACCCTTATTTTGGTTTTCTGTTTCTTCCTTCACAAAAAAAATATCTGATGCAAGCTAAACACAACCTTAACCATGACTTCTGTACTTTCAGGGATTAAGCATCTGAAGAGTCAGAGTGACTCGGTGTTTCCAGAAGAAGAGGAGGGAGTTGGCGAGCGGGAAGAGGAGTGGGGCCATTAACCTGGGCACAGCTGGTCCTGCAGAGTCCCTGAACTGGCCCTTGGCCCCCTGTGCCCCCGGGGGCTCTTCAGGCACTGCACACGTGTCCTGTGACCCTTCTTCATGGAGATCAAACAGTTATTTTAAAGTCTTTTTTTCTTTTATTTTCTATGACTTAGAAATGTAATTTGCAAATGTGTTCGCTCCCTGACGTCGGTACTGCCAGAGCTTCACTACTGCCTGTGAGCTGTATCTAAGGCTTGTTGTAAATAAAAGTGATTTAAAAGGTACAAAATAAATAATACATTAATTTAGATGACATTGTCTATTGAACAGAGGGTTTGTTCTGCTACAGAGAAATGTTCATATAAAATGATCCTTTTGGTTAAGGGCAGTTTTTACCATTGTTGGTAGAGTTCCTTGCAGTGATGTGGATAGAAAAAGAGGCAACGAAGTAAGCAGAGGTGACTCTATCTAGAGAACAATGCAAAGACACTCTTCCCTGTGTTCCCTGGATATGTGACACTTAAATATTTGGCTTGCTTTTGGTCTGAGGCTGCCTTGTCACAGCAGCCAGAACGATTTCTCTACACAAGGTCACTGTTATCTGGAGCCATTAGAACACGTTCCAGTGTGGCAGTGAGGAGCACAGGCGTGTGCAGGGCCTGTGAGCAGGGTCCCATGGCAAGTGCCACATCCCTCTTTGTCACCTGCAGCAAGGACAGGTCACAGCCATCCTGCCCTGTGCTTGCCTCAGTCTGAGCCAGCAAGTGACAGCACAGCAAACTGCACAAATTCACCTCGTGTCTGAGTGCCAGGGCTTTGGCTGAAGTCAGCATGGTTCATACCATCCTTTTCATTTTTAGACCATGCAACCTCTATGGCATAAAATGGAATAAGGAGGAGAAGGAAAACAATGTTTCTTCAAAGTCACACTTTACAAATTATTTTGATTTTTTCAATCAATGGCAGATTTTTAAATGAATTCACTGTCATTTTGTATTAACTGTTTGCCTTTGATACAAAAGTTTTGTCCTCAGTTTAACTTTCCACTGCTGCAAATCCCCTTTAAAGGATTGAGCTAGCAAAAATAAAAAAAGAAAAAAATAAAAAAAAAACTAAAAAATTAAAATAAAAAAAAATAAAAGAGAAAATTAAATTAAGTACAGGAAAACAGAGCACAGAGCCTTTTGTCTATGCCTTGCATGGTGATTTCACTCTCAATCTGAGGTCTTCCACGAAGACGTGCTGAGAACAGGATCTGTCAACTTCTTTATGTTTGAGAGCCATTTTTCCCCTCCATCTGTATCTCTGTATCTGTCCTCTTTGGTTCCATTTTCTGTAGACACACTGCAGACAGGATCCAAGACTCCAGCTCAGCAAGGGTGTGCAAGAATGACTAAAGAAAGACTCTGCAGTTATACAGAAGCCACTACAGGACTTCCAGGACCGAGAGCTTTTCATGTCCCCAACAACAAAAAGAAGGAAATGACCCCTCAGAAACTGTTTGAATGGCCCCAGGTCAGGTCTGGAATGGCAGCAAGAAGCGCTGGGCTCTGCTCCCAGCTTTGCCACGGCTTTGCTTTTGCACAGCACCAGGATCTTCACAAAATTGCTCGTTGCCACAGTACTCATAAGCTGTGAATCAGTCACTGGTGTTTAACCTCACACCATCTCTCTGTGTTGCTAGCTAATAAAGCACTTTGGATATTAATGGCTTTTTGCTGGTTATTAGTACCCACAGGCTGCAGACGAGAACTGTCCAGGAGCTGTGAGCAAATGAAAGCATGGACATGATTTATAACACTGGACACCAGGACAAGCTATTGAACATGTGGAATCTCAGCATTTCGAAGAAAACACACAAAGCACCTGATAGCAGCTTGGAGAATGCATCACTGAAAACACTGTTTCAGGTTGACTGTTAGACTTCAGTATAATTACGCTTTATAAATAATAGGAAAAAACCACACAGACTTAGTTTGAACTGTATTTGACTTTCAGAATGGTATATGTTGTTTATTCTCCTGGTGTAAAATCAGATAATACTTAAGTAGATATTAAGAGTCAAGATTTTAAAATCCTTTCTAAAGCATACTTTCCACTGAAGTCAGAGGAATTTTGCTTGAGAAAGATCATAGGTTTTGGCTGAAACATACTTTCCTTTGGGGAAATACAATGTGTAGCATACAGGAAAACTGCTATTATCCTGCTATCAATTTAATTACTGGATTTCTTGACTTTTTTATTTTTTAAGATCACTATAAATTCTGTTGAAATCTTCAAGGATTTACCCACTGTCTTTTCATAGTACCATTATTTCTCCCCAGTATGCAAACTGAAAAATCAGCAATAGTTCTTGCACTGTTGGTGTTATTTGACCAAAAGTGTCCCATCCAACACTGACTCTGAGGCAGGGCTGTAGGAAAGGTTCTATTTCCCGTGCTTGGGCAAGGGCTTCCCATGGTGCCCAGGGTCCAGGCAGTCAGTAAGGGAGTTCCAGTTTATCTGCACTCCTTTAACATAAAGGGCCAGGCTGGTGGTGGTTTTCACTCTTTAAAAAAAAGCATTTATTTTACTCCAGAAGGTGAAGCATTGGGTGGATCTCTCCAGAACTGGCCTGAGTGAGCTGTGGTGGTTGGGGAGGGATCCAAGCAGGGCTCCTACAGGCTGCAGGTCTGCTTTTGTACAGCTGGCACTGTACAACAAAATGTCCTGCTCAGTGCAGGGCTCCCCTCCTCATTTCTGTTCTCTTGAGACAAGTTTTTTTCATGAGGGACCTTATTCCTGCAGAAAATAAGGCATTGTCTGTCCACTAACCCTGGGGGGACAATGTAAGGGCATATTTAAAACATGCTGTCCCTCAAACTCTCCTTTCTTCCTCTCCTATTGCAACCATATTAATGCCCAGGCCCACAGATGTTCTTTTTTCATTCTTTTTTTAATTTTTTCTATAGCAGCTCAGCACAAGAGTGAGCTCCAGAAAGAGCCTCAGTTGTTCTGTTGATTCCTGACATGTGCAATTACATTTAACCTTTTCATGCACAGCATTATACTTGGCAACTGAGTGGATGCTAAACGCCGTCTGCTTTGCTGTATTCTCTCCTTTATCCTGCAGTGAGGATAGCAGCACTTAGAGCAAATCTCAAGCAGGGTATTTGTGCACCCTCTGCTAAAGCCAAGGCTGCTTGGTAAGATGCTACTAACCTCCAGTTTTATCAAAGTGGGCTGATGGAGTTTATACAAATTCAGTGTCTATATTGTCCTATAGATTTTCTGGTTTTTTTGTAAATTAAATAATCTGGGGGGTTTAGGGCAGAAAAATTATTTGGTATTTCTGCTAGGCCATGCACACTCTTGTAGTTTTGTAATGATTCATTTGCCTAGTATATACTGACCCTTAGTGGTAAACTGAGATTTTAATTGCATTCCCAAATTTCTAAATTTTGCTTTTCTTTTTGGCCCAACTGTTCAGAAAATGGCAGGAATATTTGCCGTGCATCAGGATAGTCTATCTATGTAAATAGCCTACAATGTCTTCAACAGACATTAACAGGCATGTGAAAATAATGATGACAGGTGTTATTAGCTCTTCTGAAGGGAGGGCTGTGGGAAGCAGGAGTGTCGAAAGGTTATTCCAAAATGCAAAACAAAAACGCTGGCATTGAGAAGCAATACTCTCCACATAATGAGAAACAAATAAGAACTCAGTATCTGGCACTAACGAACACCTCAAGCTAACTGTGGAATGAGTATTAATTAGGTTTCCAAAATAGCATCTTTCTGAAAAGCAGCTGAGGTGTAATATTGCTCCTTATTAATCAAAGCAATGGGACAATGTGAACTCTGCAAAAAATAAATGGTTTGCAGATGGCTGTGTGCATCTTTAATAATGACAGAAGAACACAAGGTACAGCTTCAGATGCCAGGGACCCTTTCTGCATCTTCTCCTTTTCAGACAGCGATATTTGCAGTTTTCAAGGCAGTGAGGAAAGTGTGTTGGTTTCTTATTACATTTTCCCTGCAGCATAAATTCTGTTGATGTGCTTCCCTAATCATTCTAATTATACTGCCATATGTTGCTCTCATCTTTCTTTTTCTCTCCTAATGGGACATAGATTCTCTCTTTTGAATATGTCATTTGTTTATTACATTTATCAAGGGTTTTAACATTATATGGGACTTTTAATTGCTTTTTTAAACACTCAGCAGATTGAATATTAAAAACAGACATGAAGGTCAACTATAAATAATATTTAAATTTCTCATGACATTTTTATTCTCTAATTTACTGGAAATATCAACTCTGTAGTCATGCTCCTGTATCTACCATTTACTTGAAACCACACACGTCTTCCAAAGCAACTCTGGCTGCAGTCACAGTTCTGCCCTACCCCAAACCACCTTGTGCCTAGCAGAATAGGAGTCTTCCCCAGGTGGGAACACTTAAATAAAGATGCATCATGCATTATATTAAAATGTTTGACCCAAATATTCTGCCATTAATTCCAGTTGTGGACTACTGCTGAACCCCAAACAATGAAGGTGAAAGCTCATTTCTGACATGTAAGAAAAATGCAGTTCTCTCTCAAAGCCGAGCAGTCTCAAAGATAAGGAAGTACAATTTCAATAAAAGAATTCAAGATGGCCTAAAGTTAAACACATGCTTTGTACAGAGACATGAGACCCTCAGAGTACCCTGCACTGCAGAAAAAATCCGTAAGCCAGCTGAATACAGAAAAAGCAAGAGACAACCAATTACTCTCCAATTAACAAATTAATTTCTGGGGTAATGACACCATCTCTCTTGGCTTTCATGGAAATGCATCATAGGTGAATTTGACCCTTTGACTCATTGAATTTTGACTGAGATAATAATGTCAGGCTTTATACAAATAATTAGCCAATACTTTCTTGTAACTTGATGTTTATTCATGGTATTATGATACAAGTCTCACAGTCTTTCTTGCAGGTTCAGGAGTGTTGCTTGTAGGTGGCACCAGCATTAGGTCCTATTGGTG